CGCCCACACTCGCATTGCCGTTTTCCTCCCCCACCTGTCTCATCGCCCCCCGCCGCCGTCACCACCACCACCACCACGCGCCACTTCGCCCACCGTCCTCAGACACCGGCCGCCCGCGCCGCGCCGTCGTGTAGCCATTATGTTGCCAGCTGTTGTTCGCGCGGGGCGCTGTACACGCCCCATTGTTGCGGCGGTAATTACCTCGCTATTCTTTTGAGGCAGTGAAACGTCATACGGGTTGAAGTTACGAAGTCAATTTGTGCGTGAAACGGTGAAGTTTCTAGAAAACAGAGAGGGAGGAAAGGAATTCGGGCTCCGTACAGCGGGTAATACGTGAAGCAGACCAGAATAACCTCTGAGTTACACGTTTGCAGCGAACAAAGAGACAGAGCATTCTAATGCAAAAGATATCTCTGGGGTGTATGATTAATGATCACAAGATTATGTAACATGGTTCACTCTCAATAACCTAAAGGACATTGTCCCTATGCATTGTTTTAGTTTTTAAATCAAACAGGGGCAAACAAACACAACCTTTCTTGTAGTCCATACTCAACTAAGGTTTCTTCCTCATAATTTTCCTCGGTGGACATTCCATCACTCGCGCGGTCATTCGAAGTACGCGTGCTCGCGCGTTGGACTTGGGCCAATTCGCCCATTATCTAGTTTTCTTTTTTCATTAACATATATCTTAACTATACGTATATAAGTTAACACTTATCTTAACTATACGTACATTATTGTCGAGTGCACCATGAAATAAACATAAATACAAACCATATTTGAAGCTTGTATTACATTTCCATCACTGGGGGAGGCTATTCCTAGATCGAGTTTCCGGACGCCGGTCTACGCCCAAACATTATTAACTTTTCTGAGACTTCTAAAATTTTCATTTTTGCAAAGTAACAAAGAGAAAGTATAAAAACTAGTTAACACAACATTTGAAATATTAAAGTCTTGCATTTCACAGGAAAAATATGCTTTTGAAAAAAATGCCAGAACACCGTTCCATACGCGAAGCCAGTACTCATTTTGGATTCTGTCAAATAGGCACAGCAAGTTCACTTTGTGATTTGGCAGCACAAAGCATAATTGAGCAACAAAAATGAGACGTTTATTGACACCGTTCTCAGATACCGTTAGACGAACAGAAGCATTGGTTTTATTCGTGGAAGGCTAACATTCTTTTCTTAACTACGAGTAGAAATGAAACTTCTCTCCCTATACAACACATATTGTATGGCAGTGTTAACACAACCTTAGTTAACAAATTCTATAATATAATGCACGACGTGTATGTGTTGCACGGTCCATGTGAAAATTCGTCCAATGTTTACATTCGTATCACGCTAATCCCACCGTTGCTGCGCGGCGGACCAGCACCGAGGCAGGGCGCAGCCGCGCGGCGTGCGGAGTGGCTGGGCTCATCGACCGACGCACAACACACGAGACACGCGGCGTGTGCCGTGTGATTGACAGCGGGGGCGATTGAATAAATAGATGAAATTGACGGCGCAGTTGCACATTTGCACTACGCAACACAAACACTCGCTTTTCACCCCGCGCCCGCCTCCCGTCATGTTCTCTCTCGCGCGCTCATTCCATAGCCCCCTCCCTCCTACTCCCTTACCGCTGCCACGCCTCCTCCTCACGCCATCCCGCCCTACCCTCCCTCAATGCTCCCCCACGCCCCTGCCTCGTCCCGCCCTCCGACTCACGTACCGCCCACCACACGCACATTTCGCCCGGCTCATTCCAACATTTCCTTCTCCCCGCCCACCCTCTTCACGACTCACTCCGCTCCCTTCCACCCCGCCCGTCCTCTTGACCGGCTCGCGCACATCTCTCAACCCCACCTCGCTCCATTCCCTCCACCTCACTCCCTTCCACCAACCCATCCCCCTTCCATACACTGAGCATCATTCCTCTCAATTTGCCATTTCCACTCACCTCGACTCATTCCTCGCACTCCGCCCCTTTCACCCATCCCGCCCCGGGTCTTCCACCCATACCGCCCTCTTCCAATCACCCCGCCCCATTCCTCCCACCTCGCCTCACCTACCTCCCTCGCACCCAGCCTGCGTGCGCCAGCCCCACGCCTCCGCCGCAGCTGGCAAGCCGACGTACGGCCCACCAAATGGAAGCATTGCGAACGCAAGGAAATTACACATTGGATGCCACGTTAATGGTAATTGTTATTGACGCTGGCCACAGAAGGACTCGACAAAACTTTGAAATCAACTTTCTCGCGTACACTTCATCAAAATTTCCTCAATCAATTTATTGCATCTACCACTTTATAGTATGATATTTTAAACATAACAAATGTCATAATAGTTATTAAAATTGCTTTATTTAAAACGATTTATTTTTACGTTTAGCGAGAGATCATAGATTAAGAAATATAAATATTTCATTGTATTTCATTATTCAATGCGACAAAAAGAGTATATTTCATGTGGTACACTTTAAAATCATTGAACAACTTTTCAAAAGAAAATACTACTATAAAAACCTTTCCAACAGTTTCCTTTAAAAGAAACAACTTCTTGATATAATCTGAATTAACCAAAACCAACTGGCCGGAAAACTGGTTTTGAGAATTTTGAAAACTAAGAAAGAAACAGATCTGTATTATTTAAAGCTGTAGTACTCAAGATAGCATTACTTTAATAATACGACAAATAATCTGCGACGTTGCGATGGATTTAAATATTCGATGCTTCATTAGAGTTCTTATATACTTTTAGATTTTATAGGAATCTTTATTACACTAATTATATCATTATGACAATAGTACCATAATTACTTGAGTAAAATCCTGAGTTTTGTAGACGAGAAGAAATCGATGTTTGAATTGAATACGTAACACTATTTTAAGTCATCATACAATAAAAACGAACCAAACTACAATGAAAAAATCCCATTTTTCTTATAAATCTTAATGTTTTCGTCATTGCAACTAATAGCAAGTAGTATGTTTGATTGTTCATATGTGGCAGAAGAACTTAATTTTCTTTCTATCCCATCTCTATTTCATCGACACCTTCTATATTTAATTCGAGCATTTTAAAATTCGTAATTATCAAACCACCCAGGCTCATAGAATTCAAAACAATATGAAGTATAAAAACAAACGAGAGTATTAAACACATGAGCGCAAGACTGGCAACGCAGAAAATGTAGGAAGGCACGAAAACTTATAACAAACACGAAATTAAATATAAATGGTTGTAGATAAAAGTTCGAATGACAAGTCTGACATAGCAATGAAACTCGTAACAACATCCACCCCATGGTACGAAAGTGATGGTCGTTTCATTATGGTTATCATACCAAATTTGATTTATTTGCAATTATCCTCACTTACCTTTCGGGGACATGGTCGACTGATATGAGGCTCGTAATGAACACTGCGTGTGTCGCCGCATCCGCCAGCTACATTATCTGCAACACAAGTACATTTATTAATTTTATTCAGACGCTTAAATACCTTCTAAATGCTTAAAAAATGTTAGTGGTCATTCAATTGGTGTTTTCTAGGACATTAAAACCAGGCTTTCAAGGTCGTAGGCCCAAATTTATTCTCCATGCGCCTAAGTTTTCTTATTTAAAGACATTTTTCAATTATTTCACAAAATAATCTAGAGGATAGCACAAGCTTGCATAGGAACCCCACCTGAAATAGTACTCCCTTGCTCAGCCTTTGCCGCAATGAAGAGGAGAAGGGGATGGTGTAGTAAAGGTGGAAGTTGTGATGGAGAAGCCAGATACGGCATCGATTTCGTATTCCTCTAAGGACTTTTTTTTTACGTTATTTAAGATGCGCGGCTTCCTTATTGAAATGAGTCATTATACCGTCTCCACACTGTGAGTGTGGTGCCCCTAGACCGTGCGTCACATAGTGGAGAGTTGTGAACTAACAGCCTATCGTGGGGATCCAGCGGATTTCTATGTCCGACATCGATGGCGGTGGTGGAATGAATTCAGAAGCTGGACGTCCTCTAGGAACTATTTTTTGTAACCCCCTTGAATACGGTCTTACTGTTGTGTTCACACGTTGTAATGTATTGGACTGCATCTGCTGTAATATCGGTCCCGCGCGTTTGCCATAATATAAATAAATTACATTACTCCAAAAGTTTTATGGGCAATGATGTGAACCGCTACTTCCTCCCCAAACGATCCTTGACCCGCCCGAAGGAAGGAGTGTTGGGGAGGGGTGGTTAGGGAGCGGGCCTGACACGGTCGGGGTGTCCGCGGGGGGCGCGGGGTCGGGGCGGGGGCGGGAGGCGGTGGCGGAAAGGCGGGGGCGGGCGAACACGAAAGGGCTACAAACAAGCGCGGCTTCGCGCTCGCAACACCCATGCGGCGCCGCCACCGCGCCGCCACCGCGCCGCACCGCGCCTCGCAGCGCGGGCGGCTATTCTTCGCCCTTGCCCGCACGCGACGCCGGCGCGCGCGGAAGAAAGATAAACAGAAGGGACTACGAGCTGGCCGGATCAGATAGTAAACTCCGACTTTTAACGAAGGGCGCACAGAGCCGTCTGTCATCTCCTTTCTTCTACTTCTCCTCCTTCCACATTTTTTTGCACATTTTTTTTTCTTTCTTCTTTTTCTTTTTTTTTATGCTCCCTATTCGGGGATGTTTCCCGACGTCAACCCGAGAAGTGTAGATGGCGCGATTGTCGGAGCTCACGACGCAGGCAGCGGGGAGCTGAAGGGCAAACGGCGCCCAAAGGTCACTGAGGAGGAGTGACGCAGCCAGGTACCCGCGCCCGCGCGCCCGGCCCACCTGGCACGCTACTGCGCACGCCCGGCCAACACGCCCGGCCCAGCACGGCGCCCTTCCACGCCTGCACTTCCTTTCATACGCTCCTTGAATTCAATTGACTGATTCCGGGCGCGACAACTGCTAAGGTCATTCCTTCTTTAAGTGTACTGCACGTCTTGTTTTATCGCAGGCGGTAGTGGTGATGGTCATCTGCTCTCGCTGGCTGGCGAGATCCGGCGCCCAACTATGTCGACTTGCGCGGATTTTCCCCAAAAAGGTATCTACCAACAGCGTGGCACCGCCCCAGCCGAGACAAGCTCTAAGTTATTCATTGGTCTTCTGACATGTGTGGAGCATGTGAGTGTAAGTGGGTGTAAATAAGGGATAAGGAAAAGACAAGGAAAACGAAGGAAAGTAGCGTGCGATATGTAGTTACTGAAATAATTAACAATTTAAGCAATACCAGAATTTAAACAATATCAGTCGTCTCTCTGGCACCGTAACTACAAGCAATTTCAAGTATGTGTTAATCGCCTCGACAAAAAAAAAGGTTTATCCTAGTTTTACAACGATATTGTTTAATATATCTCATTTATACAATCAAACCAATATCGCGTTAATATTTGAAAAATGTAATTGGTTGAATCTTATAATCATTATTGTTACTGTTATGTCAGTTACTGTTAAAATAATATACTAAACCATCATTAACAATAGTGTAATTTTTTTACATCTATATTATTTTGTTAAAATCTGAATTTCTGAGAATCCTAATATACAATAAGGACGAGAGAAATAAATAAAGTAGATATTATTTATTTTTAAATGCAAATCCACTATTGTTTATGATGTTTTACATTTTTAAACACTTACTTAAATAATTGCCGAATTTAAGTAACTCGATCTTACTGGCTTGAAGGCAATTACTGCTATCACGATAGAACATACAATTAGAAATACTATGAAACTTGCTTCTAATTGGAAAAAATAAGTATCTTAGTGTTACAACGTAATGTAGCATATCCTAAATAGTTATCCTTCATACCAAAAACTTCAATACAACCTAAGCATTAATAAGCATTAAAAAACGTATGTGTGTAAAATGCACTATGTGTGCAGAACTCTAGTGTCCAAAGTTTTAAATGCCGAATGTTTCATTGTCAAACTTGTGTTTTACCGACTTCTCAAAAACTCTACTTACTTCAAAGCAAAAAGGTTTTTCTTCAACAATTCAGATTCTTTAATATCGTAACTCAGAAATACAATATCTGACAGCAATTGTGTTGAGAACTCTACTTTTCCCCACATTTTAAATAAAACACAAATGGTTCTTGATCACTAGGTTGAAATATCTGGCACAAGCATTAGCAGAAAACCTGAAATTGTAGTACTAAAACTATCAACAAACTATTCCAAAAACATTCTCTGGGGACCTGAGTTTTTTATCACAGAATAAAACTCGGGAAAGAAATTGCAATTTAAAAATAAATTCAAAATGCACTTATAGAAGAATTCCATAGTAGAAACAAATAGTTTTACACAATGATTTCTTGTCCAAAGGTTTCCACAATTTCAAACGCATTTTAAACCACAATTAAGACAGCGTTATCTCGTAAACCTGTAATGTTTCCTTTGCAATACTTAAACACACGTTTATTTCAACCGTTTTTGAGGCTTTAATATGTGACGATAAAAAACAATTTCATTACAAAAATGTATATCCCTTTTCCCATATAATTTGCTTAGTTCTAAGTTTCGAATTGCAAAAATTATTGTATTAGTTACTTCACAAATACAAATTACCATTAAAAAGTACAAAAGAGATAAAGTACTTGGTGTCTTGTAACAGAGCAGAAAGTCCAGGAATCTCCCGACTTTCATTGGCACTCAACGAAAGTACGTAAGAACTAAAATATCAAACGTTGCTTGAAAAGTACTGCAAATTTCCAAAATTGAAAATCCCTTTCAAAATAGGATTAGCAGTCTTCTGATCGCTTACACCTCCATTTCCCCGACCACCGGCAGCCGCGGAAACTCTGAAACCCATCCAACTATCGATTGGCCAAGCGCCGCAACGCGCTATGGAAATGAAGGTCTCTCTCAGTCCAAGGGAGGCGAAGCCGAGAGGGGGGAAAGGAAATCGCCATACGGCTGAATATTCGCTGCGCATGCGGGCCAGGTAATTATTCAGCTGTATTCCTTTGCGAGGGGTTGCAAGGAAAAGAGATTAGATCGCTTCGTACGCACTGCGCTGACGTTCAAGACGATGTAAAGTCTCTGGGGGGGGTAGGATTTCAACGCATCCGATTCAGTGCAGTACGCTGAGGAAATTTGAATTACTGGGCAAAACGAATAAGATAGAGTTATTAGAAATGAACGTTAGGCAAATTTGCTTTTTTTTTTATTTAGAGTTCAACGAAAATGCGACCTGTCTAATCTTGTCCTTTCCTCTACCCGGGGGAAAAAAACTTGATCCAAAAATTTGTAGCCATTTTTGAGAAAATTTTGGCAATATTGTTAAGACTTAATGCAAAGTATCCCTAAAAATCGAAGTACAAACTTTCAGTACCTGGAATTCGCCGGAATCGATGAAGAAATATCAATTTTGAAGAAAACTACCTGAAAGTTTTAGGATTTAGCCTTGACCGTTGACGATGAGACGGACCGACGAACAGACGCACCGACGCAATGACCAGTTTTAGGGTATCATGGACTCACAAAATCTGGATTCTGACCATACGTGTTAGAGAAAGAAATTTACTAACGTACCAACAAGGTTTATCTTTTCTTTCGATATCAGGGTCCTTCAATTCGAGTCTTGCCGCCGAATAATCGCCGATTTCTGCCGCAGCATTACAATTCTTTCTCTTTGCTTCAAGTACGTAGTACGGCGAGAAATAAGAAAAGAAATATTTCAATTTTATGGTTTTAAGCATGCATTTCGCTTAACGATGCCTTTCTACGGGGGGAAAAAATCGCGTTTCTATGTCGCATCTGGGGAAAGCACGTGTTGGAGATCGCGGAGCGGCGGCGTTGCCGAACAGGCGAGGAGCGGGGCGCGGCGACGCGAGGCGTCCTGAAAGGCTGAGTGTAGGCCCGGGGGGAGGGGGGACGGTGGGGAAAGGCGGGCGGCGAGAGCGCGTCACGAGCACCTGGTGCGCACCCGAAATTAATGATGCATCAGCGCGAGACTCCGCGCGGAGCTCTGCGCGCCGCGCAGCCACGCGGAACCGCCCACACCCCCGACGTACAGGTCCCGCCGCACCCCGTTCGGCTCCCAACTTGCAGCGCCCTTCCATTCAGTCTCGTCCCGCTCCGCCCGCGCACCTCCCCCGCCAGCGTATCTGCCATTCCGCCCCGCCATACAGTCTGCGCCTCGCCCACGTTGTTCCTCATCCCGCTCATCCCCTCTCCCTCGCCGTTCTATGCAGTCTGGATTCGCGACCCGACTCAGCCCGCCGCCCTCCCGCTCCGCACCAGCCTCATCCGCATATCCCGCCCAGCACACGTTGTTATCCATCCCGCTGATCCCCATCCCGTTTCTCACCCTTCTATGCAGTCTCGCCCCGCAATGGCCCCGCCGAAATAAACAGATCCCACTTCTCACCTATCCCGCTCAGCCCTCGCTCCCCCATCCCAAAAAATTTACCACAGTACGGTATCT